ATCTAATATTTCCTTCACCGTGAACTATCTGAAATGTGACCTTACTTGACATTGTGCCTGATGAAAACAATAACTGCGTTAACCTCGCATTTCTGTACTACGCCCTAAGTTACATTCTCTACAATATTGTTCTCTAAATTTCTAAAAGTAGGTTACATTCTCCAGATCAAACTAAACTACATCTTACAATTAACACTACTGTCTATGTCTCAATTCATACTATTATATTCTATGCTCTGGATCTACACATATGTGCTGTGTGCTACAGATCTGCTAAAATATATGGAACTAAAACTAAAACGCAACATATGTACTCAAACGTAATATATTAGTACAAATGCAAAAGATGTATGGGAGCATACCTGTGATGAAGTGAGCGAACCAGCAGGGCTTCGCCGCTCCCCTTCTGCTGCCCTCCCCTCTCTCTCTCTTTCGTTTTTTTTGGATTTTTAGTGAATATAATGAAATTTCATAGGGGAGGGGCTGGGCTTTATAGGGGGAGGCAAAAATCGCCCTCCCCCAGGGCGGCAAGGGGGCCGCCTGCAAAATTCCATGCCCCCTCGCCGCCCATTTGCAGGCGGCCCCCCGCACAGTGCAAAATCGCCCTCGCGGAGGGCGGCAAGGGGGCCGCCTGCAAATTTCCATGCCCCCCCTCGCCGCCCATTTGCAGGCGGCCCCCCGCACAGTACAAAATCGCCCTCGCGGAGGGCGGCAAGGGGGCCGCCTGCAAATTTCGTTGACGGCCGTCGCCCGAGAGCGAACGGCCGTCTGCCACGTCATTTTCGCCGCCCTCTGGGAGGGCGATTTTTAAAAATCGCCCTCCCAGAGGGCGGTAGGCGACTATTTCCGTCAATTTTCAAAATGGAAAATTATTTTTGTAAAACTTTTAATAAGAAAAATTATAAATAAAAAAAATTCTGATTGTATTGTGGATAAAATAGGTGCCAATTTCATAGAATAAAAGTCAGTATGTGGCTTTTTGGTGTGTCTGGAACTAATCTCTATGTGTCGTTGATATTGATGTTTCATCATTGGTCTTGGTGAAAGTACCTTCATGTTTAAACAAGAGGTATAACTCTTAGTATCCTTGTTACTACTATATCGAAAGAACTAATACGTTATATAACCATCATTCTCATCAATCACCCACTCTAAATATTATTGGTTTTGTGCGGTGTTTAACACCATATTGTAAGCCATGGTTAAAAAAATAACACGATTCCACCATATAATTATTAGCAGGAATAGTACATTGCATCAGCAATAATAGCCGCTTATTGTAATGTCTATTTTAGAACGTATTTACATGATAGTTGTTCTCAAGACTAAGTATACATAAGATTGATATAACCACATTAATTTGTGAGATTATTAATATCACCATGATATCAACCATACACAACAATTAATATATAGTTGCACATAGCTCATACTATCAGTTACTCCTACTTAATGCGTATTACTTTGCAAAAAATATCCATAAGTCCATATATATACTACATGTTGCCTGGAGCTACGGTGACAAGGATGATGAATAGATGAAACGAAAGCCATAAGTCCATTGCTTGTTACCGTTAATAATGAAAAATATATATAATGAAATATTAGATGTCGTTTTATCAATCAAGAGTAAGAAAAGTATTGACCTACTAGTATTTTTTTAGACTAGTCCATCTACAAAGAAAATTCAACTATACTCAGATGTCACTTGTACAAATAGAGAAAACCGATATTATGTAATACAACTACGGGTAAACCTTAAATGCAACTTTTTTACTATGATTCCTCTAGAACGTAAGATTCTTAAAGTATAGGAATAGAGAAAACATAGAATTAAAAATATCATGCCATGTAAAATCCTACAAGAAAGAAAGCTACAGAATTTATTCAAAACATGTATTTGGTGTACCATAGAAAAAAACAAAAGAATTTTAAGATTATATGTTGATTTGCTAGAGAGATAATGGAGAGAGAAAATGCCTTAAAATATCAAAGGAATTTGAAATAATGAGGTTGAACCTAATGCTAAAATTCATCAACATTGTGGAGGAATTTTTCCTATCCTTTAAATTGCCTTAATTTGAAGCAATCCTGCAATCATAAGGACTCATTCCTTTGGATTGGATCCTGTCTTTTCCTTAAAAAATCCTTCAATCCCAATAAGCCCTATATGTTTACCCATTAAAAATTACTCCTACCTACTTTCTCCGTCCCATAATAAATTTATTTTGCTTGTCCGAAAATAATTTTATTTTTAGAGTAACTATTACATCGAAGTTTGTGAAATAAGAAATAATTATATTATGAGTAGATAAAGTGAGGAATAGTTGTATTGAAATTCGATAAAGTAGGGGAATTCTAGTTTTTTTATTAGTATGTGTGGAATAGGTGAAAATAATGAATTTATTTTAGAACGGAGATAGGACATAACTTCTGCATGTATGTTAATATAGTGTCTAAAAGATTAATGTTTCTTTTTTCTGGTCCAGCAGCTACCAATCTACTTCTACTATACCATCACATGCCTGCCTATCTCTGACAATACCTTACCAAAATATCAGAGGCACCATTTTACAGAAACACATGGATAAGGAAAGAGCAACTTGGAGAAAGGGGAACAAGGGGCTGTGGCTCAAACGGAGCAACCTCAAGCCGCGGCTTTTGTGTGTCGTTTGTGTGCTCAATTGTTGAGAGATCGGCTTCTTCTTCTTCGTCACCTACAAACTGCTGAGAGGGAGAGCACGTAAGTACGCAATCAAGGCTGACACGCTAACGGCCGACATCGCCTACCTGCCATCAATTAAGCTTTAGCTATATATACTACCACTGTATAGCTAGGTCCCATGTTGCGTTGGTGACACTAGCTGCTGCTGTCATCACGCATTCCGAGGAAACACATGTTTTTAATTATTTTGTTAATTACAACAGCTTTGATACAATTTCGATCATTTTATTCGTTTTAAGTCACTGAGCGTTTCAAGAGTTGTCCTTCCGGCTAGGACAAATTAAAATGGTAGTATAAGATATTGTTTTTTAATAAAAATGAAACAATCTATTATTTATTTATTAATTGTCTTTTTGTTAGATTTCTCTGGAGATCAGTACAAACTTCTTTTGGTCTATATCCTCGTATAATATACTCCAACTCATATTTTTGGAAACTGGCTTGTGGGTATTGATAAAAGGACCAATAAATTCATTCTTGTAGGACAAATCACTGTTTAAATCTTATATGTAGGTACTTTTTGGAGGCAACGCACTAGATTCGGTTTTGGACGTAACTACAATGGAGTGATGAGGACATCAAACTTATTCACACTGCATGCTGCAACCTAGGGGCAATGGTTTGCAGATTTTTTTCAACTTCGGATGGAGATTCACAAATAGGGTGCAATAATTGTGAAGTCTTTTGTCTAGTGTTGGTGGTTATTAGTGGGTGCATCACTTCATGTTTTCTTTTGGAGGTGCCATTATGAAATTGTTTGTTGTGTGTGCTTATCAATGAACTGATTTTTTAATAATAAGCTGTAGCTCTTAGAGCAAAGACCGAAATTATATTCCATTATTTAGAAAATAATTTATGGTCAGAGATAGATGTTTGACATAGGATAAATCTAAAACGACAAATAACAAGCAGTAATTCAAAACGATGAGAATGTTCATTCGATGCGTTTGTAATGCCATTTGGACTTCTAATACCTATGTGGTGGTTTGTTTGCACATTCCAACAAATTTTAATGCCATGAAAGCATTCTTTACATGGATGTCGTTGAAGGTGTATTTTTAATACATCCAATGTGAATTAAGATATTGATACTCAAAATTTCAATACATAATATTGACATTGCTGTTGTTTTGTTTGTCTCAACGGTTTTCAATGCATATACTAGCTTCTCGAATACTACTACATTTTGGTGGTCCCACGGTGAAAGACCAGCAGATGCCTGCATTGGAGATTTGGAGCTGAATCTGTATTTCTAGAGACAGAATATGCTCTTTAGTAGATTTATGGGCTACGCCGTTTGCTTACATCCATAAGATTAATTGGTGAGTGTATAATTAGTGATATGTGTTTTTCAAGCTCTTTAAGTAGCTTATGGATTATAGGCACACTTCTCAAGCTTCTAACGATACTCCCTCCGTTCCATAATATAAGACACAACCACTTTTCTTAGATGTTACATAATAAAAGGCATGCATGCAAGCATGCAATTAACTATAGCATCTTCTCCATTAAATTATTACTTTTTTAAATCCTCCACTCTCATGTTATCTAATTCTATTGGATACATGCATTATATTTATTAGGATGATCCAAACTACAAGATGATAATAATTATTTCTTAGTCTTTGGATTAAGAGTGGTTGTGCCTTATATTTTGGAATGGAGGGAGTAATATATATTTTTTTTAAAAAAATGAACTTTCTTCATCAACATTTCTTATATACATGTATATGTATTTACAGGTATATGTATATACATGTATATGTATATATATACTTTTTTTAAAAAAAATCAACTTATCAACTTTCTGATATTTAAATATTTATTTGTGTTCTCAAATAATTATAATCCAAAGCTATTTTTAATTTTTTTAGGACTCAACAAAGAAATATACAGCTTGAGACAAGTCAAATATGTTCCCCGCAAAAAAAAAGACAAGTCAAATATGTATGTCTAAATTATATCTTGAATTGCTAAAGCTGTTATTGCCTTTTGACTAGATGGTTTTCTATTTTGCTTCAAGAAAATGGCTGCCTGTTGAGAGGCAACTTTACTTGCTCATGGCGAACACAATACACTTCAGAATTTAAAAAATGTAGAAATTAACATTAGCCTTATGAGGTATTTTATGGTCCTTAAAGGAAGATACCAAGAGATGCCACACTTATTTGTGTTAAGCTATGGTGCTTCTTGGTATGTCAAACACTAGAAGACACACTACCGTAAATCTAACAATAAAATCACAGAAAGATTCATAAAATAGCTCTGTAACTTGTAAAGCAAACATAAAACTTTCGAACCATCCACCACACTGCAATACAGAGAGCCCTGAATCCACATGGTTAATTCAAAGATTTTTCCCATCAAACTATTGCATAACACGGTCATGATCTGCATTTTGCAACTCCATGATGTTCAGGCAAATATGATGCAATCTAACTCAACTTCTAAACTGAAATCTTACATTACCAAGACTTCTCTAATCTCTCCTGAAAAAAGGGAAAACCACCTATCTTAGCATCACAAGCTAGCAGGGTTAACAGTCGATAAAGAACAAAATGAATGTGAACCTTACAAGTTACAACAACACATCTGGACCGGCCAAAAGATTTGAGGCAGCTTTAACCATCGATCTCCTCATCCAGAGGAGAGAACCATTTGGTACCAGACTAATCATCCAGTAAAAGGCATACTGTTTTTTACACAATAGCCCATACAACGAACCACTCAAGCTCGACGGCATGCCTAGGGGCATAGCCGTGTAGGAGCTCCTTGACCTTGATGAAAGCGGTGAGGTCGAACCATATTTGCTAATGGCTCGGTTTTGCACGTTTCATGCCACCATTGCTGAAAGGGGAGACGCTTCCTGGATGAGGACTGTCCTCTCTCAGAGTAGAGTTCAGCATTGCCAGTTCCCTCAGCTGTTGTCTTTTATAGTAATCTTGCGACTCATCCTGCAAAGACGAACAAAAGAGGTCAGCTATGAACGGCGGTCATAGCTGTAAGCAACCTACAGAACATGGTTCACAGAAAAACACTGCAGGAATAACTATCATAGAATGACAACTTAGGGAAAGAATAAGTGAGGGGGAGAAGAAACATTGTATATGAAATAAAAATAAATTACTACTCAAGAAGAGCTGTTGGAAAATATCTCAAATAAATAGCAAAGCTACAATGTGAGACAACATGAGAAAGGCTAGTTCTGTGGCATCATATGCATAAGCTTCGAAACACAAACAAAAAAATGGTCCAGGGGTATGAAACGGAAAGCAGCCAAGTCTGTAGGTTAGCAGGATTCGGGCTGGCACCCAAAACTTAAACCCTTGCCTTCTCATCACCTTTGGGCCCTTCATCATAAACTTAACATTGCAGATCCACTGCAATTTGGGACGATGAGTACCACAGTGCCAGATGTATAGACATACCGCATCCACTTAACAATGATTTGCAGCAACAAAATATTCATTATGGACAACAATGAAGCATGGAATGGAAGTAATGACTTGGGATTTATGGAAGAAACTTTGTTTTGTACTTAATTTTAATTTTATGATTTGATACAACATGATTCATTTCTGTGCTTTCTTGGCAAGTACCAAAGACCTATTTCTTTCTCTCTTTTTGTGGGGAAACAGACATTTTCCCGCATAGATCACTGCTCATTTTCCCAGGAAAATAACCAAACATGCCCTTAGCTGAGGAAAGCTGCAGGTCTGACTAGTACTCTTTTGGCCCTCAAGTTGCATCTGTTTTGTTACTATGGTGAATGTTATATTCCTGAAAGGGTAGATTTACTAAGTTTGTACTGCAACACTCTAGATATAGTATTGGCAGTAGACTAAGTTTACAATTTAGATCATCATTGAATATCTTAAGGGTCATTAACTCCAATTAATATTACTGGATATCAGTTTTATTTCATTATATATGGCCCTCTTGATGCCCACAGGGTCACATGCAGAACCACAATCAGAGAAAGGAAACTATTCCTGTCCTAGCGACTAGCGCTGAGGACTGTCTCCAGCCTAGATCTGCACCCATACCACACTAACCAGTTGCAACAATGAGGACATCAGGACCAATGAAAAGTGCTGCCACTGGGCTGCGAATGAGAGGGAGAGGTGAAGTTACCATGACTTGTATGGGGTGGTACCTCTAAATTTTATGTCAACAAAACCACAGAGATGCAAATAGCTGTAACTACTCCAATAAGCATGGAGATGTAAAATTCCTTTTCAGTTCAGTCATGCAAAAAAAAAAAAGATAAAAAAACATAACCGGTGAAAAGTTTGTGCCATTAGCCTGTATGGTAGACTTTATGGTAGCACATTTCTAAATTCTAAATTGTGAAGTGGTATTATCCAAATTTCAGAATAAATTAATACATAAAGTCATATAAATTAATACCACTGGTTTTAGCAGTTCATCCATTATTTCTTGTGCCTGCCTCAATCTTGTATCAATGATATTGGCTGGCAACTCAGCTTCAATCAAGATATGCAGTGGATCATTGAGGTGCTCATAGCCAGGTTTTCCTTTCAGCTTCTCCTCCTATAAAATAGAAAACAAAGATGTGTAACTGTGTATATTTGGAGGATATATGAGGGGAAAAAATATGGACAAGGAGCAATCTGGAATCTTTCAGCAATCAAGATTAATATATGAGACAGAGTACTATCACATTATTGATGTAACATGTTAATGGGTTTAAGGGGCAAGACAGATTCCCAGAAGACAAGATAGAAACCCATATGGGAATATAGTAGTACAAAATACTAACATATGTTCTACAAAGATGCAATAAAACTCACCACCATATATCATGAACCCAAAAAATAAATAGAAAATTGAAATACTAGAACAATACATTTGTCCAATACATGTAAGCAAATACGTTACTCAATGTTACTAACTTATTATTGTTACAAGGTTTATATGGTAAGCAAACTGATGAGCAGGCAATATAAAATCTGCCTTGAGGCACACAATACTCCATAAAAACAATTTTTTAAACAGTTCTTTTTGTGTGTTTCCCATGTTTCTTCGTGTTTCAGATCAATTTAGGACGAAGTTTGAAGACCAGAATTCAGAAATACTATAGACCATGGCAGAAATGGTCACACCAATAATGGATAGTTAGGATTTACTAATCAGGGAAGAGTACAATGAAGGATTTCCAAGATTTCTACAAAGGATATTAAATTAAACATAACAAAGAAGTTTATCATCCTAGCTAGCTGTAATACTTAGTTTTAATTTATATAACGCATGTTATATGAGTATATAAATGTAAAGTAATTAACATTTACAAACGTTTGTTACCTTATCAGCATCTTTGATAGAACCCTTCCCTCTAATGAAAACACGACAACCAGTTGATGCTTCAACCCGCTTTAGAGAATTACCCCTCGGTCCTAGAATACGTCCCACGAAATTGAACTGGAGCAAAGCGAAAATAGCAGACATTAAAAACAAGACATTTTATCTGCTGGATGATAAATCGCATAAGAGGAACACATACATTAGGGTAAGCATCAACTGGAACCTCCATGCGTACAATCTTCTTGACAATATAAGAGCCATGACTTGGCGGTGCGCCTTGCCAGTCCATACTTGTCCCAGGAGGAGGAGGAGGAGGAAAGCCTAATCTCTGTCATATAAACAAATCTTATTAGTATTGCTCACAAAGACACAACCTAATGTACGCCAGCCAAAGAACATAAGAATCAATGGTACAGAGTTTTGATGACCTTCTATATACAATTGAAGAAAATTTCTTCAGAATCAGAAGTTGAAAACAATGAGTAAATGTATAGACAAGAAGATTCTTGTAGTAATTAAAAGCTTGTTTTCCTTTTGCACTTTTCAGTAATTAATTCATTATACATACCTCTTGGTGTATGCCATTCCAAGGCCCAAATCCATTGCCATGTAGGTTGGGTCTCATAATTGGCGAAGACATGGGACTCGGACTTCTATAACGACGCCTGTCAAAATCGTTGAATCCATGGTCGTTGACCATGCTTGATACCCGCATGATTTCTAAACAACACAAAGATTGGAAAAGGAGGAATAAATAAGGTTATTACTTAGAAGTAGGAGTTTATACTTTTTTGGAATGCAAGAGTTAGATGATAGCTATGATCAAATCATAACTTCCCTATGAGAAGCATTTAAGGTAGAAGTGAAATCAAGAAGCACATCAAGATAAATAGATATTACATGGTGCAAATATATGCTACAATTAGAAGCAGGTTTGAATCCATAGCATAATTCATAACAACAAATATATTACTTACATATTTCAGTTTGAATTCTCGAAAATGGTCAGTTAAAGGGTTAAACCAGGAAAGAGTGTCCTTATCGATAGTTATCCAACCCATTTACTTGGGTTGAACCGTGGAGTGGGTTTTAGATAAACAGAGAGACATGCTCTCAGTATATGACAAAAAAAGGATGTATTTATTTGTGGATACTTGCTCTATTTTCCAGCCTATAGTAAACATAAATTAAATGCCCGCCTTGCTCATCTATAAAAGAAAAATTGCAAATCTAAATTACATGTAGTAAATCCATGAAAACAGGCCGTAGACCACTTTATAAACACTAAAAGGTGCAGTGAGAAATTGAGGCAAAAAATTTGACTTCCCACTAATGCAGCTAAAAATAGAACCTGATCAAATGCAGTCTGAAGCTATTCACTAAAAATAAAGGCAACATACTCAACATCCGAAGTTCCCAGCCCACAAGAAGAATGCAAATTTCTCCAATATGAGCTAACTATTCATGCAATTCTTACACATTCAAAACATCTTCATATATTAAATTCAACAGTTTCTTTTATCAAGTAAGCCTATCAACAGCACACGGTGAAGCGCAAAAATTTGCTGATGCATTCACGCCCACTGTTCTAGAAGAGAGGCAGCCACCTATAGCTCACTTAGGTGCCCACCTTGCCTGCCTGGGTAGCGACATAGCAGCCAGGACATCTTGTTGGCTACTTGCTGCTAGCCGCACCTAACAGATCAGTAATCATCCTGTATCCACAATGCGCATACCATTGTCTGCTGCTGATGCAATGGACAAATGATTGCAACTCTACACATAAATCTTGACAACTACTAGTTCTCATCACCACTTTATTTTTCATCATTGATCTTCAGTTCTCAACAAGTCTCAATACATCGAAACATCTACATTATTTGAAGGCAAAAATTCAATGGCAATCACCAAAACAGCGCAACAAGCCTTGATTCGCATGCTGTATTATACCATTACACTCGGTCATCTCTGTTGTGTTGTGCATATAACCCCCAAAATATTCTAACAATCTTATCTCGATTGGCAACGAAAAATTCCCGAGAAAGAACAAGAGGGCAACTCGGCAACTCTATCCAAACATAAGCTGCAGGCAAAATCAGCAGCATCATTCCACGCATTGGAGCCACCCGATTCCCAAATCCCGATTGCAAAACTAACACCACAAATCCCCCCTCTTCCTCACACGAAACAAACACAACCCCCACCAATCCGTGACAAACAGTAAGCGAGAGATCAATCAATCAATCAATCAAAAAAAAGAAAAGATCTCACCTTGGTTGAGCAGCCGGCTGCATATCGGCAGCACCTGCATGAAAGGCCCCAGCTTGTGATGCTCCGCGAGCAGCTCGCTCAAGTACTGGCTGCAAAAAGAAACAAAACCCAAGAAATCGCACAACCAATCACCTAAACAAATCGAAAAAAGGGCACGCAACCAAGAGCAAGAAGCAATCCTTGGATCAAAGAATCAGCAAGAAACACAGTAGCAATCCACGGCGGCGGCGGAAGCGGGCGAGGCCGTACCTATCGGCCTCGGGGTTGCTCCTAATCTGGGGCGAGAGGGTTCTTGCCGGGGAGAAACCCTGGTGGTTGTAGAGGCCGCCTGACATGGTGGCGGCCACGAGCGAGGAGAGGAGGAGGAGGAGAAGAGAGGAGAGGGTTTCTTGGTTTCTTTTCCTTCCTAGCGAAGAGGTTGATGATAGAGATTAGAGAGAGGAAAAAAAATATGAAGATGGTGGAAACTGGAAAGGTTTTGATGGTTCCAAAAAGAATTAAAGAAAAACTAAAAAGGAGAGGTTTTTCTGCTTTAGGTTACACTACCTGCCAGGTTCTGTTGGATAAAGGGGAATTGCTGGCTGCTCAGGTGAAAATTAAAAGGAGGGCAGGTGATAGGAGAAAATCCCTTACCTCACATCACCTAAATGGCTATTTCATAGACGGTATAAATTATTACTGAGTGAAATTACGTGTGTGTATATATATATATATATATATATATATATATATATATATATATATATATATATATATGTAAAGAGAAGTAATGTGATAATAAATTAAACGGTACAATTAAATAAAGTAACCCATTATATCCAATGCTCTTGTTGAGGGTAGCTAACTCTCTCCAAATTTTAAGTGCATAATAATGGCTTTGTTGCTCTAGGGTTTTAGTGTAATAGATTTTTGGAGCAATATTGTTACGGGCTTATTTAAGTAAGGATGTGTCAATAGTGCTGGTTTATAACTCATTCTCCCCCATAAAAATACGAGGTAGCTTATTAACGCATGATTAATTAAGTATTAGCTAAAAAAACTTGAAAAATTGTATTGATATGATATTTTAAAGCAATTTTTCCATAGAAAATCTTTACAAAACTTACATCATTTAGCAGTCAAGGAAACGTGTGCGCAGAAAACGAAGGTGTAGAGGTTGGGAAAGGGTAATGCCGAAGTCATATAATGGTATTGTATGGTTATTTTATATTTTGACTGGTTTATCGTTAATGTGTTTTTCATATGGTCTTTTACAACAAACTGGAGTAAAAATAATTTGAAGACATAACCAATTGTTTGGCTTATATTAATATCCATCCACATCTTGGACAAGCAACAGTCTTGATCAGAAGATGTTCTTTTCATATAGCAAATGCTCTTCATATGCAATCATGCGAGCTAAGAATAAGGCTTCTCCCTTCCGTAGCATTTAATCAAGTCTGCTTACTTGTTATCATTGTTCCCTCTATCATTTTCCTCACAATTATGAGCCCTTTTCGTTTTTTTTTTCTAATATCAATGGTTCGATATGACGAGACTAGCTAGCCATAATTTTTTTTTATAGATTGTGGGTTCTCACCACAGAGGCTATATACCTGATTTAAGTCGACCTCATCATTAATTAATCATGCCAATATTTGGCAAAATAGAGTTATTTATGAGGGGATCAAGCCAAATAATTTTCATTGCCACAATAGTTAGCATAAAAAATGTTGTAGGCGATACATGAAATATTAGAGGAACATAGTAAATGGGATGGAATAATGGTAATTTTAGTTTGGATTGTAAGGATGACTAGGCAGCCATTCCCTACGATTGTGCAGCATGCATTACCTTGGCTGATCGTGCAGACCAAATAACCTGATTTATTGGGCCCTTTTGAATTGCATGAAAGAAAAAAAAAGAAGGAATAGAACATATGATTGCAAAACATAGGAATAATTGTTTGATTGGACCGTAGGAAAAACTCATTGGAAATTTTTCAAGAGCTCTTGCTAAGTTTTCTCCAAAATATCTATAGGATTGTCCATTATTCTATATGAATATCAAAGGATTGGATCAATTTCAAAGGATTGGAAATGATCCAATCCTTTGATTCAAAGACATTCATAAGAATTTTTCTATAGGATTGGAATCCTCCAAAATTCCTATGTTTTTCCTCCAAATTAAATGGACCCTTAAATTCTTCTTAATTTTTGTGTTATCCTTATGGTTCAATCAAACAATATTTTTGTGTTTTTGTTGTATTTTACAATTCTATATTTTACGCTTATATTTCTGTTAAAATCCTACCTTTTTTCCTTTCATGTTCTTAATCATGCATTTACATGTCCCGTAGCCCAAAACTATTTTTGCTTTTGCAGCAGCTGACGTTGCTGTCTAGCTCACTGCAGTTTCTCTTACTAGCGAGCCGGAACATTTGTCATAAGAAAAAGAAAGACCTCACTGCGTTTACAAATGTCTTTTAATATCAAGAGACTCTAATTGTTGACCGCAATTGTGGTCTACCGAGATAAGTATCATGCAAATCATATCATGGATAAACTGAACATTTATAAGTATCTTACACCAAAGATGAAGGTAAACAACCATCACAATCTAGTCCTTGAATAGATGGGAAATATACTCATTTATTTAATTAACCTACTCACTTGATACTCTAACCTCTCAAAAGCACCATCATAGCTAATGATCACCGTAACAAGATGTTGATGGTCGATATATCTACCAATACATCATAAACCTAGCAAGGTGGTGGGCCATTGAAGATGTTGGGCTGGCCAGCCCAAACCTTTTAAGCTCCTTTTTTGCATGTTAGCTCAGCCCAGAGTTCTAGTTTCCATTCCTCCTTTTCCTTTTCTTTCACTTTTCTGGAAAAATAAACAATCAAGTTTGATATTTATTTAATTAGAAGAAAGAGGCACCCGATCCAATTCAAGTTGAAGATGACTTGAGCTTTGAATTCAGTGGTGGGAATTATTGTTTTAATTAACTCTTACTCTGGTAAAAAAAATATTTATTGTTTTGAACAATATTCTTACGAACTTGTAAAATTCAACTATCAATAATTTCTCAAATACTTTGTTTAACAAATAAAATAATATATGTAGATTTTCATAGAAAATTATTATAATCAGAAACTTATTATAACATAAAATTGGTTATCAGAATTTTAAAATTTTAACTCCTAAACGTTAAATATTTTTGACCGGAGGAAGTATCGTTCCAATATTTATTGTTTATAAAATAACTCGGAGTTTTGGTAAAAAAATAATTAGGGAATATTATATACAATTATTATTTATAGAAATCAACATCGGTGTGCATCCTCAGTGTTTAGTTTTAAATATATTGCTTATTTCAAGCCATGGAGCTTGTTTTGTGGAAGCTGGAACTCCGAAGAGAATATAAAGTAGAATAAATCGATGTAGGATATAAAAGAAACAACAAAGGAGGATAAGGTACGAGATTGGAGGTCGGCAAATTAAGAAACAACAGCAATAGATCTGTACAATATGTATTTATTTGACAGCATTAATTGCTAGTATTTTACATAATATATCTAGTATATACTTAACATATATTTGATCTTACAAAAAGAATTGGGGTTAATTTTATGTTGAATATTCTTGGTTGTGCAAGTGTACACCATGTTGCTAAACTTGGCTCCCTTCTGATTGAGACCTTTCCTATACTCAATAATTCCAATCTATATGATTTGGCAATGTATGCCCATCTTACTTTTCCTAGCTTCACCGGTGATTAGATCCTAGTGTCACCGAAATTAATCCCTAAAGATTGCCATTGCAATCTATATTTATGGACTTGGTGATGGCTGATGTCACTATAAAGCTTGTTCTGTTTGTTTGGATAATTAAAGGAGATTACTTTTATTTATTCATTCTTCTAGTTTCTACTGTTTTTTTGGATGGACAAAAGTTTCTATTTGAGAACCAAAACTGATTTTATTTATACTCAAAATGGTTAATGCTATTCCTACCTGGATTCCGCACAAATATAAAACAATGAACAAACCATGTGATTAAAAATCAATTTAGTATCCAGAATCATTGCACGGTTCAATAAGAAAAGAAAATATGTATAATATGTTCTTATTTACACCAAAGCAGTAGCCTGAATCTAGGGGCAAAAGTAACTTTCTCATCCACTTTGTACTAAAAGTTTGGCTAAATTTATATAAACAAAAGTAGTACTGTACTCTAGCAATCTTTAACCTTTTTTGGTACAAATCAAATGAAGTATGGCCTCAAAATCTGGAAACAAAAGCCATTAACCTGTCAGGACCACATCAGAGAATTACTAATTAACTGTCTACAATCCAAAGTTGCAGAAATGCATACCATGTGTGCACATTTTGAGATCATTAAGAAGCATATTTGATGGGTGTAAAGTTATGTTCTAAAGCCAATGGAATAACCAGCAAAAAAATATCATGTGCTTTGCACAAAGGAATGCAAATGACTAATGAGAACAGAACATGAAATTTACCTATTTACTTGCCAAAAGCCATACATCAAAGTTTGCACCAAATGATATGGTCTAAACAATCACAGTGGACACTAGGCATCTTTTCCTCGCAAGAAAAATATTAGCGCAAGTCAATGAATATGCACGTAAATACACAAGTTTCTATAAAAAAATGGATAAGGATAAAAATAGATAAATAAGGCAAACAAGAAATGTCTACTACATTCATATGCTCACCTTATATCTCGCAACAATATTGAAAAAGGCATAGGCTAAACAATCAAAACGAGTATAAAGTACTTCATCACATTTTTAACATTTTTAATAGATGACGCAATCAATTAACGGATATACGTATGACCATTCATTTTATTCAAAAGTTCTGTGCACATATTAAGAAAATATAAGTTGTGCTTTAATTATAGAGCCAAGTCACAACAAAAAAAAAATAATTGCGTGTCCTTTAATTAGACAAATTGAAGGTGGTATGTTACTTAAGGCATACTCTCTCCGTCAAAAAAAACAAAAAACAAATCCAGGACTGGATGACACATTCTCTAGACCAACGAATTTAGACAGAGGTATGTCTAGATTCGTACGGGAATATTCCTGTTTGGTAATATATGACCTTATTTTACTGCTGTCATCAATTTCTTGGTCTATGCAAAAGAAAAATTGGAAAAGGACTGTCAGAACATGATTGGACAAATTTTAAAAATGTCAAAGTCAACGCCGGAGATGCGATCTTGCAAGTGAGATTAACAACCTAACAGTGTGCTTAACATGACTAATGATTCAGTCAGAGGTTGGAAACGCAACAGAGCCGTTGACAAAAGATCAAATTCCCCTTTGTCAACAACCTCTTTTGGACTCTGGTGAACTTAGCCCAATAAAGACGCCACTGGCTAAGCTAGAAACATAGTACACTGGAAAAAAAAGATATCTTCTCACAACTTCATGGAGTATTTGCTTATTTTATAAAATAGGAATCCTAGTTCTCTTCTATATTCAAGCCTGCTTGAGTTGAATAATCCACTGAAATCTTGGTCATGATCAGAATTTGCAATTTCTGTTTCCAAATCTTGACTACTTTAAGGTTTCCAGATTGCAATATATTGATCTTGATCTGATCATCATTGGGAATGAATCTTGCTTTCATATATACCCCTATTCACATTCTACCTAGTCAAATAATCGAGCATGATTTTCGTTGTAAATAACATGTTTAACCAATAAACATTTTGACTTTCTAGTGAAAATAATTTTATTCTCCATGTTTAGTTGTGTGGGGCAGATAGATCCCGACAAGAGTCGTATATATAGTTAACCAAGAGTCCAAGAGCTAAAAATTAGGGCCTCTTTGAATAGCAGGATTAAGAAAACAGAGGAATAGAAAAAATGTAAGAATTGAATGCCACAGGATTTCGAAACACAGGAAAGTCTTCAAACTGTCGTTTGATTAGCACACAGGAAAAACGCAGAAACGTTAGACATATGAAGAGGAAAATATGAGGTGAGACCTCATGCTTATTTTTCTCCAAAATTGCTCTAGTAAGGTTCATTCCATAGGAATTTCAAAGGAATTGATAGGAAACAATCCTTTGTTTTATATGACTTTATAGGATTATTTCCCATAGGATAAAATCCTCTAGAATTCCTATGGTTTTTCCTTTGATTCAAAGGGGGCCTTAGTAACCCATCACACAATTAACTACTTGTTGTTACATAGCGAATTTAGGCCCCCTTTGAATTGGAGGGAAAATGGAGGAAAAACAAAGGAATTGAAATCCTACACTATTCATGCCTTTGATTCGTAGGAATGAGAAAATGAAAAATGTAGGAAACTTTTCTATTCCTACAATTCTAGAGCAAAAACGTAGGAAATTTAACATCCACTCTAACCTCTTGGAAAACTTTCCCAGAGTCTATCTCTCTCATCTAATTCCTGCATTTTTCCTGTGGTCTAATCAAACGGTCATTCCTATATTTTTCCTGTGTTTTGCAATCCTCTGTTTTTACACTTGCATTCCTACCAAAATCCTGTGTTTTTCCTATTCCTCCGTTTTTTCAATCCTACGATTCAAAGGGGCCCTTAACAGACCTAGATAGTATGAATCAAAAAGATTTAGGACCCTTTTGAATTGGAGGAAAAATAGAGGAAAAACAAAGGAATTGAAATCCTACACTATTCATGCCTTTGATTCGTAGGAATAAGAAAAGGAAAAACGTAGGAAACTTCCCTATTCCTACAATTCTAGAGCAAAAACGTAGGAAAGTTAACATCTACTCTAACTTCTTGGAAAACTTTCCTTGGGTCTATCTCTCTCATCTTATTCCTGTATTTTTCCTGCGGTCTAATCAAACGGTCGTCCCTATATTTTTCTTGTGTTTTGCAATCATCTGTTTTACACATGCATTCCTACCAAAATCCCGTGTTTTTCCTATTCCTCTGTTTTTTCAATCCTGCGATTCAAAGAGGCCCTTAGTGGCTATCAATTGTTGTTCTTCATGCAAAACAATGATAGAGCCAAAAATATTTTCAGGCCTAGACAAACTCAACTATACCACTCCTAGGCATCTGTCCAGGGTTAGCTGGGCTGTGGCTCCACACTTATACAAAACCTATCATTTATCAATTAGACATTGCGCTTATTTACTACTCCCTCCGTCCTAAAATAAGTATTGTTTTGCACTATTTATGTCCAATATTTAACCATTCATCTTATTTGAATTTTTTATGATTAGTATTTTTATTGTTATTGGATGATAAAACATGAATAGTACTTTATGTGTGACTATTTTTTTTAATTTTATATAAATTTTTTAAATAAGACGGACGGTCAAATATTGGACATGGATATCCATGACTGCACTTATTTTAGGCCCTCTTTGTTTAGGCTTATAAGCCAACTTTAAGTCGAAAAGTATAAGCCTAAACAAACAAACAGCTTTTCCGTTTGGCTTTTTTGAAGCCATAAGCCACTCTAACACTATTAAGGCCCTCTTTGTTTAGGCTTATAAGCCTACTTATAAGTCGAAAAGTCTAAGTCAAAACAAACAAGCAGCTTTTTCATTTGGCTTTTTTTGAAGCCATAAGCCACTCTAACACTATTAAGCCAAAAGCTAGGTTGGAGAAGCTTTTTTGGCTTATATGAGATATATGTATGACTCCACCACTAAACTTAGGACATTAAATCCACTGGCTTATAAATCATATAAGCCAATAAGCTGACTTAAAAGTCTAGGCCAATAAGCCTAAGCCTAAACAAAGAGGGCCTAAGCCAAAAGCTAGGTTGGAGAAGCTTTTTTGGCTTATGTGAGGTAGATGTATGACTCAACCACTAAACTTAGGATATTAAATCCACCGGCTTATAAATCATATAAGCCAATAAGCTAATTTAAAAGTTTAGGCCAATAAGCCTAAAAAAAGAGGGCCTTAGAACGGAGGTACTCTGTAGTTGATCTTAGAGGTGAGCTATAATTTTGGTTCCTTCCATGGCATAAAGATATTTTACCCTTCACAACTTTTCTGGTCAAGCTACATATGTTCTACTTACTTTATTCGAGATTTCCAAACATATAACACTTCACAATAGTACCTGACGTCAATAGTTCACTCCCTAGTTGGTACATACCATGTTTAGGTGGACAAAACTTCAAAAATATTTGATGTTTTTTTTCTAAACATGGATGCTTTGTGAGATCCATCATCTCCCAGTCCCAGGCTCTATAATTCTCTATCATTAATTTTTTTTAAAAAAAGAGATTATCAACATAATCAAAATTTGCACTGTAGCTGCAATACACTCCAAGGGTCAAATCGTCAAATCACTTTGTGGGCCCCACCTTTAAAAAAAAAACTCCCACCCGCTCGCATTTATCGATGCCACTCTCCCCCTCTCACTCCGGTCACCACCACCCCGCCAGATGCTTCGCCTCGCCGTCTTCCTCCTCCCGCTCGCCGTGGCGGCGGCGTCGCCGGCGCCGGCGAGAGGCCCCACGGCGTGCCCCTACGACCTCGCCACGGCGACGCGGATGATCCCGCGCGAGTGCTACGCCAACGCCACCGCCGGCCAGGCCGCCACCGGCTGCTGCTGGTACGTGTTCGCCGCCTACATCTTCGCCGCCGCCGACCACGCCAACCGCACCGGCGCCGCGTTCCTCCCCGCCGAGCCCGCCGCCGCGTGCTCCGGCGCCTTCGCCGCCAGGCTGCTCTCCTCCGGCCTCGTGTCGCCGTCGCTCCTCGCAAACAACGGGTCGTGCGACCTCACCGGTGACCCGGGGAAGCTCGCGGCGGGCTCGCGGCCGTGCCAGCTCGCCACCATCGACGCCGTGCGCGCGATGGCGCCGCGCGCGCTGCCGAACGCGACGCGGCTCTGCGCCGCGCCGGGCGCGGCGCGCGCGCCGGGGGTCGGGCCCGGCGACCCCGGCTGCGCCGCGTGCCGCGGCGCGGTGATCGCGACCACCTACGAGATGCTGGCCAGCGCGCGCACCAAGGAGTTCGTGCCGTGCGGGATGGCCGCCACCGTCGCCGTCTGGTCCCGCGCGCCGCCGCCGCTCGAGCGGTTCCGCGCCTACGCGCTCTGCATGCTCCAGGTGCTCGAGAACGTCAACAGCCTCGGCACCAGCGACCTCGTCCCCTCGCCGCCGCCGCCGCCGGCGTCGCCGACCACCGCATCGCGCCCACTCCCAAGCTCCTCCTCGAGAAGGAACACCGTCGCCATCGCCGTCGGCTCGGCGTCCGCGGTTGTGGTGGCCGTCGTGGCGGTCGCCTCCGCCGCGCTGGCAATCGTAACAATCCGTCGCCGGCGTAGGTCGACGACGACGGCAGGTGACGTCAGCGACGACGAGTCGGTGGCGTCGCTGCCGCCGCTGCCGCGCGAGGGCCTGTACATCTTCACCAAGTCGGAGCTGAAGCAGGCCACCAATGGCTACGACGAGAAGCTTCTGCTGGGCAGCGGCGGCGCCGGCAAGGTGTACCTGGGGCGGCTCCCGTCGGGGCAGCGAGTGGCCATCAAGAAGATCTACAGGTCGAAGAAGGTGTCGGAGTTCTACGCGGAGGTGGCCGTGCTCGCCAAGCTCCGGCACCGGAACCTGACGACGCTGGTGGGCTACTGCCTCGGCGGCGACCACCACGCGCTGGTGTACGAGTACCTCGGCGGCGGCAACCTGTGGCGCGCGCTGTTCCAGGGCGAGCTGGCGTGGCGGCGGCGGCTGGAGGTGGCGGTGGACGTCGCGGAGGGGCTGGCCTACCTGCACGGGTTCCGGGAGGGCGCCGTGGTGCACCGCGACGTGAAGCCGACGAACGTGCTGCTGTCGGAGTCCGGCGCGGCGAAGCTGTCGGACTTCGGGGTGTCGCGGATCGTGCCCGAGGGCGGGACGCACGTGTCGACGGAGGTGCGCGGCACGCGCGGGTACGTCGACCCGGAGAGCTTCTCGGCGGGGCACGTCTCGGAGGCCGGCGACGTCTACAGCTTCGGCGTCGTGCTGCTCGAGCTCGCCACGGGGATGCGCGCCGTCGTGCCCACGCCGTCGGGCGGCGCCGAGTCCATCGTGCACGCCGCGCACTGGGCCGTCGCCCAGGCCGGCGGCGAGGCCGGCGCCGCCGCGGAGTCCATGGTGGACGAGCGCCTCGGCGCCGACTGGGACAGGCCCACCGTGCGCGCCGTGTTCGCGCTCGCGTGCCGGTGCGTGCGCCCATACAAGCACGAGCGCCCCGCGATGGGCGAGGTGCTCGCCGAGCTCAAGGCCATGCTCGCCGACTATACCGCACGAGGCGGCGGCGCCGACCGATCAGAGGCCTCGACGTCATCATCCACCGCCACCCCGGACCTGGCGTCGCTCCCATCGACATCGTCATCCGTGGCGAACACCGAAGCGATGGCCACGCCGCCGCGGCGCGACAGTTAGGCTCGTGGCGCCGCGGCGGTCGGGGCACTGGTCGAACACCTGGCGGGGTAGGGCCCGATTGCAGTAAAGGCGAAACTCCCACATGTCACTTGGACGGCCCTCACCGGCAAGTCGAATCAAACCAAATGCACAAGTTGGATAATTTTTTTTGTACAAATCCATATCTCAACTACTTCCTTCCCCTGCTGTTTGAAAGTGATTAGTGAGGAGTTCTTGAGATCAAAGTCAATGCCCTCTTTTATTGATGAAAACTACCTGAAAATTTTCGGTGTACTTAGTCCGGTGCACATATTCATGAATGAATTTGTGGTTGACTACTGTCCATCTGATAAGAGAAATGGAGGTTGATTATAGTTGTGACAGTTTGTCCATAATTAATTTTGAAATGGGATGTGATATTCACATTCCAAGTTTCCAATACGGTTCATTTGGTTCAGAACTACAAACAGAACGAATCAAGAAGGGAATTCTCGACCTGAATCACTCGTTCGATCCATGTGTATGGTACATAGAGAAAGCCAAGAATTTGCAGATAACATTAAGCAATGTCAACCAACATTCATTGCATATATGAACTTCTCAACAGTATAGGTGCATCGTTTGGTACAGCTTAGTACACGTATTAGTTTATATATACCATTCATATATTAGTATTAGCTCTACAATGATTCAGTACAGCTAATGATACAAGTAACTTATGTTAGACCAGAATTACTTTAGTGCTACTGCTACTCCAGGTTTACACCTGTGTAGTTTGGTTTCCACCACTGGGTTTTGTAACTTCTCAGTTCAGATGAGTGAGCCACGAAGTTAGTAAGCTCTCAACACTGCAGCTCCAAGCATACACGAACTTCAGTTTTCGCTCAAGTTCTCGAACTCAACAGTGATTGACCTGGCGCTCTGGAGAACAACTGATTTGTTTGGCAGCACAGCAGTGATTGACCTTGTCTTCTGGAGAGCAATTGACTTCATGTTTTGCTCCTTCCAGACAATCTTGACCACTTCATCTACGACAGTGTTTGGCTGCAGCAAAGTTAAGCACAAGATTAAGAAACCATTGAAAATAGAATGCAGGCATACCTAATTGAATTACATCTATTGTCGTCTTAGACCATTGACACAATCTTCAGTAAATGCTTTGATCATTACTATTTCGATTTTATTCAGTATAAAGATATTACACATGGAAGTGCTTTTGGTGACAAATCAAGTAATATTACTACAATAAGACAAATCCAAATAACTGTTTTAGAAAGGATCACTCATCAACTGCTCCCTTTGTTAAGGAATATGCAATTCTAAAGGACATGGGGTCAAATACAACTAAGAAGTTTACTGAGATAGGTAAAATATAGATGGTGATTGAAAACATTCAAATCAATAACATTTTTATTACTAGTTACATATTCATACTGAATGATATGGTGAAAAGTCATGATGTATTCTATATATTTGTGTCCACTTGGTGTGCCTGGATTTATACTGCAAAACACAGAACTATGTTAGAGTAACTGCTAGTATTTTATACCCTTTTGGAGCCAACTAAATTGACCAATAAATATGTGGGGGCAGGCACAAGTGCAAAATAATGCGACCTGAATTGGTAGTCATCAGAGCAATAAATCAACCAAGAGACCAAGTCAATGGTGATATCCAGCCCTTAACTGTATATTTAGACTAGTGCATCTAGTTGGCAGTTAGGTTTTCCCAGAAGGAAATTATTGGGGTATTTTCACTATGATAAAAACCAAAGTTTAAGACTTGCAGCACAGATGAAAATAGAATATACAATTTGATCGACATGTGTGGAGTACAGTATATGCATTACAAAAAGAAGATTCAAGTTAATTGAGTTCAGACTAGCTCTTAATATCTGATGGTCAGATGAATGTGACGAACCCGATTGTCACAGGAGCATTTCCTCATCACTCAATATTTGGGGTGACAGAGGCTCGAACTCTCGACCTCATGATCACTCAACCGTTTTCCCAAAAGGAAATTATTGGGGTGTTTTGCTCTATGATAAAAACCGAAGTTCAAGACTTGCAGAACAGATGATAGTAGAATATACAATTTGATCTATATGTGTAGGAGCATATGAACACAAACATGGCACATGCTATTCCGACATTGATATATGTAATAGAACTAGATTCTAATGACTAATATCATCAGAAATCTTCCTACTTAAGTGCAGAAACTTGCAAGACAAAAGGTAATCACATAATGACTGTAGTAAAAGTAGCGATTTTGAAGCAGCATGAAGAACATTGTGGACACTACACTACATTGGAAATCTTCCTAATTCTAACCATTTTTTTTTGGTATTTTTTTATACTAAAGCAGGAACTCTGTTGTTTCATTAAGAAAGGAGAGAAAATTGGCTGAGACACTTTCACAGCTAGCTAACCAAGGTTTCAGTTCAAGACTGTTGCTAACAACTACAGTACAACAGAAATCATCCTAACTGCAGAAAGTAATACTAGCAGAACAGGTGACAAAAAGTAACTGCAGAAAGTACTATTAGGGGTGTTTTGCAGTATGATAAAAACCAAAGTTCAAGACTTGCAGAGCAGATGACAATAGAATATACTATTTGATCCTTATATGTGGAGGATCATATGCATTACAAAAACAAGATTGAAGTTTGGAAAGAAGGCTTATCAAAGGAACACGAACGCAATCGACTATTTCTACATCGACACATCTAACAAAACTAGATTCTAATGACTAATCAATATTCTAAGAGCATCAGAATTCTTCCTAATAAGTGTAGAAACTTGCAAGACAAAAGGTAATCACACAATGACTAGTAGCAGAAGTAGCAATTGTGATGCAGAAGCTCATTAAAGCAGCACAAGGAAGCGTTGTTGACACTAGACTACAGCATTAATCTTCCAAATTCTAACCATGGTTTCAGTTCAAGGGCTGTTGCTAACAACTAAACTACACCAGAAAGAAACCTTCCTAATTAACTGAAGAAAATAACAGTAGCAGCATGATGAGAAAAGAAGGGTTAAGGACACTCCCTGACGATGTCGAGACGGCGAGGCCCTGCCCTAAACCCTAGCAGAGATCCATCTGCGGGGGAGGGGGCGGCAGCCGCGGTGGGACGTCGGGGCGGCGGCGGGAGGAGGCGATGCAGTAGATGAAGTAGGCGTCGGCGGCGAGGCAGACGGCCACGGCCGCCCAGTCGGCGAGCTCCCACAGCAGCGCCTCGCACGGCGGGGCGCCACGCGGGCGCGGGAAGACGCCGAGGAGGAGGTAGAGCGCGAGGACGGCGGTGTAGGCCACCGGGAAGGCCGCGGAGGCGGCGGGCGTCTCGCGCCACCCCGCCGCCATGGATGGAAGGACAAGAGCTCCTCGGCGAATCCAAGAACTGGTGGGAGAGGGATTTGGGAGGTTTGGTGCGCGAATTGATTTTGGGAATTGAGAGATTTGGTGATCTCGGGTGGAGGATGTGGCGCCCTTTTTATCGTCGAGGGATAAAATCCACCGACATTGGAGTTGGAATTGGAATCGGAGTCGGAGTGCGAGGGTTCGTCGCGATCGAATCGGGGTGAGATATTTTCTTTTTCCCATAAGGAGGGCGGGAATCCGACTCCGAGACGGAGTCGGAGGCGATGGGGCTCCCCGTGCGGCGAGGCTGCCCCGTCCGGCCACCGGCGACGAGGTCGGAGACCCAGTCGCCGGAGGGAGGTGTCGGCGCCTCGTCGCCGGCGAGGATTCATTCTGTCTCGCCTTTCTCGCGGTTGGAGCCTCGTGAATTAGAAAATGGCATTTCTAGCATGGTATAAGCATCGCTTCGATAGAATACCATTATAAAAAAGAAAATCCATAAAATTCCATCGATAAGCATACTAATCCGAGAAATATCATCGATAAAGATAACTTTTTAGAAATACCATTGTACAAGCCTCTTTCTCTCAAAAATACTATCACCATCAAACTGCTATTAACATCTCTCTGTTAAACCTAAAAAAAAACATCTCTCCGTTAAGTTATATGAAAAGACAATCTTATCCCTAGACAACCATTTGTTCATCAGGAGACATCTTTCGGTTTTGTCATTGCAAGCAACTTCTGTATACTTACGCGTACACAACATTTGTCTTTAGTCAACAAAAAATGTCTGCGGTGCAGATAACGATCGACACATAACTAAATTAAAAATGTCTGCTGCTCTCATTTGTTGTTATAGTGCTCCTCATCCTCTTGAACAAATGGTGCGTGGAACAGCTTCCACAACATTGTCATCATCTCCTTCCTCAGCGTCTTCGGCCATGGCCGCTACTGGGCCGACCTCTCCGGCCACCCCGTCGCCAGCGTCGGCGCCGACATCAAGCACTACCAGCACGCCAAGAATGTCACCGTGCTCCTCTCCATTGGTGGTGAAGGTGACCAGTACTCCCTCCCCATGCCCAGGTCGGCCAAGAACGTCGCCGACCACCTCTGGGACGCCTACCTCGGCGGCCATCGCCATGGCTTGTTCCACCCCTTCGGCGACGCCGAATGAAAACAAACAAAAGGGAAAAAATTGCGCCACGTGTTAGGACTGCAGCCTCCTCCTGCACGGCGACCTCGCGACTGCGGCTGTGGGCCTCTCCTCCCCCTCATCACCGACGCCTGCGGGCCTCTCCTCGCCGGCGCCTACAGCCCCCGCACCGCAGCCTGCAACCGCCGTGCCGTCGCTTGCGGCCTCCTCGCCGCGCCCCGTGCCACCTTTACCGCGGACCTCCTCGTCGCGTGTTGCCGCTCCACCGCCACACCCTACCGCGCCGCCGCCATGGACCTCCTCGCTAGGATCAGGATTGGTAGGGTTAGGGTTATAAATTTTGTTTCATCTATCTTTTTCTTTGACAGTGAAAATTGGGTATATTTTGCACTGTGGGCAAAATGGTCACTATAAAAAAATTAACGGTTGTAATGGTGTGGAGTTGACGGTAATGGTATTTTTGGGAGAAAGAGACTTGTGCAATGGTATTTATAGAAAGTTGCCTTTGTCAATGACATTTTTAGGATTAGGGTGCTTGTCGATGGTATTTCATTTTTTTTTTGTAAATTACACATTTTCTCAGATGATTATATCCCTAGGTCAACTTGTTGAATCGTGAGAGAGGAAACATAATAGGCGAGAGAAGGGGCGCGGCGACGCCGCTGCCGCTCACCACCACTCTGCCGGCCTGTGCGCCACCTCTCCCCACCGCCACTCCTATCCTCGGCGCTCACCCCCAACCTCACCGCCCACCACCGCTTTGTCGGCCGGCGCGCCACATCTCCCCATTCCTCACCGCCACCCCCAACCTCGCCGCTCCCTGCCACCCCCGATCCCGCTGCCACCTGCGCTCGTAGCCACTGCGAGCGCCTGGTGCTCGCACCTCCGCCTCCAGCGCCACTCGGTCGGCTCAGTCCTTCAGCGAGCGACAAAAACAGGTGGTCGACCGTCGACAGAAGAGACGCGAGAGAAAAAACGTGCGTTAAAAAAAGATGCCGCTCGGTTTGGATAGAGAGAGGACGAAAGAAAAAACTAGGGGCAGTTTCGGCACAAAAGGTTCTAAAAGAGAGCAAAATCTTTTTCATCATTAACCCAAAATGATAAAAATAGCAAAATATCAAACTGCACTCTGTTGACAATGGTATTCTAGTGAAGCCCGTTTTAATAATAGTTCTAGCTAAACCATTCTTATGTATAGTAGATGTCCAATTTGGATGGAATGGATGGCACTGATTTGTTGGGCTTGTTCATGCTTGGGCTGCAGCAATGGGCCTCATTACACATTTCTTTTACATTTATGAACCAAATTTCTGAAGAAATAAGTCCAACTTGAGTCGCTCAAATTTATGTTCGATATAATTTATATACCTTAACCGTAATACCCTAAAACTATTAAAACCAGTCTAATTTGACTTCCAAGACAGTAATTACAACGGTAATTGTTGACGAGGCTTATTGATATGGTCCAACTGGCTGACTCAGCAGATGTCAGTGGCTGACTCAGCAGATGTCAGTGTCCCCTCCTCTGTATCTCTCTCTTCATCTCTTCTATCCCCCACATTGGATTGCAAGATTGCGACTCACATGACTTTGAGTCACTAAACATATGGGCTCCTTTTGCTGTGGACTTACATGTTAGTGACTCTAAAGTGGGAATATATATAGCGCAAACCATATATATAATAAAAACATAGAAATATTGTTGGATTAAAAAAAAGGACACATGATATTTGATCACATCATTGATATTAAAAGTTTTACAATTGAATCTGGGACTAAAACATTTACTATTGATGATATAGCTAAATCTCATACGTATATACTATTGATGATACCGTAGTTTCCACTGTATATACATGGTTGACGATGGCAAGCAAACTCTCCATCTCGACATCCCCACCTGCTAGGGCTGCCCGTATGTCCTCTAGTTACAACCACGATGGCCCGCCCGACAAGTCCGTCCTCAGACCTGGACCCTGTTTAGATGGGACTAAAACTTTTAAGACCCTATCACATTGGATGTTTGACACTAATTATAAATATTAAACGTAGACTATTAATAAAACCCATCCATAATTTTGGAATAATACGTGAGACGAATCTATTGAGCCTAATTAATCCATGATTAGCTTATGTGATGCTACAGTAAACATTCTCTAATTATGGATTAATTAGGCTTAAAAAATTTGTCTTGCGAATTAGCTTTTATTTATGTAATTAGTTTTATAAATAGTCTATATTTAATACTCTAAATTAATGTCTAAATATAGACACTAAAGTTAAGTCTCTGGATCCAAACACCACCTCAGCCAGGTTCTACCGTAGTACTGTATTCGCTCAGCTTGTTCACACCAGTGCCCCAAAACTCAAAAACCAATCTCAATTCTCAACTGTTAGTGCGGATGTTGGCAACCCCTCGACCTCAATCGTGTCGAGGGAGGGTGTCTATACCCTCTGCATCGCCACCACCCTGCAGCACGAATCATTCGTCGCTAGGATTTGCTAGTGCTAATCCAAGCTCTTGGATCTAAATTCTCTAACTTTTCTAGTTCGTGGAACTGATCATTTGTAGATGTGGGAGCATATATATACCTCAATTGCACAGTAATGCCTCACTGCAGAAAACTCTAGTAGTAATTGATACTAGCACATTTGCATTACTCACTAATTAATGATCTGATCTGGTGCCTCTCGTTTCTGGCGGAGTTGCCGGGCACCACGATGACGACGGGTGCAACGCACTACTAAAAAAGGGTCTTTCCATGTATTTGGGATGCATTTTTCATACGATTGCCCCAACCGCATGGACGAAATCGTCTGTAAAAACACCCTTTTTGCATGCGGCCGACGCATCCGCATGTGAAGATGGGATTTTCACAAGCGGTCGCTTATACCGGCCGCATGCGAAAATAAATTCAGCAAACGAAGAAAAATAAAATCCAAAAAATCCCAAACCCTAGCCCGCCACTGCCGCCCGCATCCACGCCGCACGCCGTCGCCGCCCCCCCCCCGAGGCACCCGCTGTCGTCGCCCCGCCGGATCCGTAGTCGGCTGCACCCTCATAGGCCAGAGGAATCTATTCTTCTTGTTCTCACAGTGCAATCTGAGGCATGATATGCTCTGGGACACAGTACACCACGACTAGATACAAAAGACAGCCCACTACAACCAAGAGATCATCCTTGTCCACCGAATCCAGTCCATAGCCTTCAATTTTCTAACCGCATTGAATTTATGCTTATGATGTATTAATCGTGATGCCTCCTAAACAACTTTCATATAGAAAGTTTTTTCATAGCCTTAGGCTGTGTTCGAGAGGATGGATTGGGAACCCCTCCTCCCCGGCACGTAAAACGAAGCTCGTATTATTGTATGATTAATTAAGTATTAACTTATTTTTTTTTAAAAAATAGATTAATATGATTTTTTAAAACAACTTTCATTTTTTGCATAAATCACACCGTTTAACAGTTTGAAAAAGCATGCGTGTAGAAAACGAGAGAGGTGGATTGGGATTTTTTTTTTTTGGGGGGGGGGGGTGGGGGGAGAACACAGCCTAAACCCGGAAATGTATTAACTAGGTGTGAGTTCAGAGGTTCAGGAAAAGAAAATAGCATGAGTCTAGAGACTCTAAGTGAGTGAGCAATTTGAAGAGGAGAGGTGTTCACTGGAAGGGGTCCGCTGAACCATGCATGATTCAGTTTGTTCAGCACAAATGAGGATGAGTGCACTGATACTCATATAGGCCGCAATGGTACTTGCAAAGAAGCTAGCTATTTTAATGAATGGTTGGTTTACAATAATACTGCCTGAAGAAATTCAGTATCTCAACCCTGTAGTCCTGGATAAATTCAGTGTCAGGGCACATTGCTGTGAAAAATAGTGAAGTTTTATTTTGATTATAAGGGAGACATACACACGGAAAAACCATGTACATTACAAACAAGTGTTAATGTAAATTGTAATCTATATCTTAGGCTTGTGATATTTTTTATTTTTATGAATCCGATATCGTTTCATAACCTATAACATAGAAATGCTACAAAATTGTAGTAGTTAGGAAGAGCATGGCGTGTAGAGACAAGGATAATGTTATCGCATTAATTGTCTTAAGATAATACACATCCATGTGTTTGTGGCCAACAAATAGTACAACTGCATAGACATCATTGACATACCGACAATATCAGAGGAAAACTATATTGAGGTGCACTACCATACTTAGTCTCATTAGGGTTGTTTTCTTTGATGTCATGTAACTATACGATGTTATGTAGTGGCAATGGCTT